CAAGACCAAAAAACAGGCACAGAAAAAGCCACTGGCAGCCAGCCCTCCACCGCTCCCAGGAGCCTGATGGGACGGAGAAGGCGGGCGACTTCCTGGTCCAGGTGGAGATCATGGACCTTATTCAGGTTTTGGGGGGGATGCCCCCAACGTCCATGATCTCCGCACTAGACGGAGGAATGCGGCCGTCTATGGCAGGATAGCTGCCAGCCTGGCCAGCAAAGGCCACATGTGAACCCAGGAGCAGGTTAGCATGAAAGTCAAGTTGGTCCGGCGAGACCCCCAACCCTGAGCCCTGAGCTTCCCCTCCACCTTCTTCTTCTTGCTTCTCCCTTCCAGGTCCCTTCCTCCCAGGTTTCCCCCTCCCCTCTTCCACCCTCTCTCTTCCCATTTCCCACCTCCTTTTCTCAGTCTCCCCAGAGGTTCATCCCCCCTCCCCCAGTTTTGTTCCATAAACCCAGTTTCTATTTTTGAACATACATGTCTTTTATTTGACATCCGGAAGGGGGGCTAGGAATGGGTAAATGGAAGGACGTGAGGGAGGAATGGGGCACAAGCTCCTGGTGGGGAGGACCGGGGAGGCTCTGAGAGCTCCTCAGGGCATCCTAGATCCTGACAGGCCCCCGATGAACCCCTCCCCCCCGGTTGGCAGCCTGCAGCAAGCGCAGCCGGGCTGATGGCAACAACCCCACGAGATACACTGGCATGCCCAAGGGCAGCTCTGGCTCCATGTGGCCGAGTGCTGTGGTATCCCAAGTGCGGGCACTCAGCACTCCGAGACAGGACTGCTTTGCTGTCCCTCATCAAGATAGACAAGCAAGCAGGGAACCCTGAGAAGTTAATTCGAAATAGAACTGTAGTGTAGACATACCCTAAGAGTTTTTGAGAAATCTTTGACTGCAGTGGAGTTGTCTTTTTGAGCATTTCTATTTCATAGTCCTCTATATTTTAGTAAAATCCTCTTAGGAAACTTTAGCTATATGTTAGCAGTTATTATAGATCTTTTAATACTAATACAAATTTATAACATTTTCACCATAAAGTGCAGTGACGCTCCTCTAAAGTTTCTTCTTTGTGCTCTTTTTAGAAGAATGTTTCATCCTCAGTTGTGAACTTTATTTCCATTTGTGTTTTAGGATAAAAGCTCCTAGATATAAAAGGATTATGCCGGCCAATGGTGAAATTCAGAGGCTGCTAATTACTGAAGAGGTGAACTTTTTTGCTGAACTTTTGTCCATACTGTAAAAGCATCATCACCAGCAAGCATACTCTGTAGTAAATGAGTTTGTTTTAAATTGTATTGAGCTAAGGTTACTGCTTATTTTAAGTATTTTTCTCAGTTACAATATACATTATAAAACTAGTGATCTTCATGCTTGCTGATATGGGAATACTGTAAAAAATACTTTAGAACAAACTTCATAAAAGGTAACCCATGTAATTTCAGGATAATTCATACCTATGCATCTCTGATGATTATCTAGAACCATATTTTCAGTAGAGAAAATCCTTTTTCCCTTTCCAAACTGAAAGTAGATTATTTCCTTCAGGGATGTGTGTTGCATTTTCCATTGTTGTATTATACTTTTTATTAACAAGTGTTAAGCACTTTAAAAAGTTCAATATGCACAATGAAAACAAAGTGGGAAATTAATGTTATGAATTTTATGTATATGATATTTTAATAATTTGTAATTGTACTGCTCTTATAAACTGTAGACTGACCAAGTTCGTCCTCATGCTGTAGCTGCAGTCCTTCGTAACATAACTTTTTCCAAGGCTCGCTATGATAGTTTCATTGACCTACAAGAAAAACTACACCAGAACATTTGCAGGTTAGTTTTCAATTCCAGTGAGAATAGATTACATGGTATATCACTATTTATTTTGGTTTAATATTTTTTATTGTGAAACATTTTATTTTTGAGGTGGACTGCTTTTCCCTTATCTAAAGAGGTGTTCTGTCTTACACTCACGGTTAGAAAAATATTTTTTAAGCAATGCTCTTAGATATTCTTCATTTGATTTATTTGACCCTGGCACTTTTCAGTTTATCTCAATGTCATAAAGAAGGTGACATCTGCTACTACATCAGCAGAAGCATCCTCTTGGGTAAATTCTTTGCCTCAGTCCCATTAGATTTACATTTGACTGTTGTGGGTGTGGTTACAAAGCCAATATACTATGCATACTGCATGCAGAATGCTATTAGGTGTAAGTGCTTCCACACTTGTAAAAATCCCTATTGATCTTCCATTAGATATGTGCATATTTGATTCTATGATGCTTCAGAGGACTTTTCTTCAGAGGAACTCCAAATATGGATAGAAAAGTCGTTGTTATTTTGCCTTGATTTCTTTGTAGGAAAAGAACGTTGGTAGCGATTGGTACCCATGACCTGGACACTATCTCTGGTCCATTTACTTATACAGCTAGACCTCCTTCAGAAATTAAATTCAAGCCCCTGAATCAGGACAAGGAGTATACTGCTTCTGAAATTATGGAGCTATATAGGGTAGGTGTCCTTTCCTAACTCTTCTTGTGTAGTTCTGAAATTTCAATTTCTAGAGGGATTGCAAGACTTGGGATTTGCACCACTGCAGATACTGCCAATAGTGGTGGTAATTTTGTGTTGTGGTTTCAATTTCTAGAGGGATTGCAAGACTTGGGATTTGCACCGCTGCAGATACTGCCAATGGTGGTGGTAATTTTGTGTTGTTGCCCCTTCTCAGCTAGGAGCTGGGAACTAGACCAAAAGTTCACTTTTATGCAGAGTACCAAATATATACATGAAAATGTGACTATTTGTTTACTGCTGATGTGAGATCACAGTTTAATATACTCAGAGCTAAATGTGAAATGGTGTACTAGTGAAAAGGCTCCATGAAGACTGATTTCAGTCCTGCATATGGCTGTATGAAATATGACAGATGTTTTATTTGAACGATTTTAACCTGTGTATTTAGCTGTCTTCTCTTTAATTTCACCTCATTATAATCCTTTTGTTATCATGGGACAAAATATAGATCCATCAGTTGTCAAAAAAATACCTTAAAATTCCCATGTGTGCTCACTAGAACATATTATAGTGAACAAAGTATTATTCTCTTATGCTGGTGGAACTGGTTTTAAATCTTGTTGTGATTTCAGTTACTGTACTAGTTACTAATATGATGTTTAATATAGCATGAGTGATTGAAGTAATTTAGCCTCTGTTTGAAGCTTTACTGTTTTGGATTGAGTAACTTGTGTTTCTCTCTCACATTGATTTGATGTTATTCATTACTGATTTCTACCCCTAGCTCTTGGGGTGAAATCTGGCCCCATTGATATCAGTGAGACTTTTGCCATTGACTCCAATGGAGTGACCATTTCACTGTTGATCTTTGACTTGTCCGTGAGCAGTTGGTTGTATTTAATATTCAAAACTTGTGCTGTAGTCTTCAAGTTTTTACACACAGAAGTCATATGGTGTTGTCTCTTGGATAAAAATAACTCTTACAGTCAGTCTTCTGGTGCAGACAGTCATGCTTATCAACACAAAGCTGGCTTTCCATGAACATTTTACCTTAATGCTCATGGTTCTGAACAAGCCCATGACTATTCTAGGAATGAGCTTGATGACAGGAAACTGAACACATGAAGGGTGAACGCACAGCTGAAGCAAATGCAGTTGGTTTTTTTTTATTTCCTCGGGTTTGAGTAACTTGTGTTTCTCTCTCACATTGATTTGATGTTATTCATTACCTATTTCTACCCATAGCTCTTGGGGTGAAATCCGGCCCCATTGATATCAGTGGGACTTTTGCCATTGACTCCAATGGAGCCTCACATTGATTTGATGTTATTCATTACTGATTTCTACCCCTAGCTCTTGGGGTGAAATCTGGCCCCATTGATATCAGTGAGACTTTTGCCATTGACTCCAATGGAGTGACCATTTCACTGTTGATCTTTGACTTGTCCGTGAGCAGTTGGTTGTATTTAATATTCAAAACTTGTGCTGTAGTCTTCAAGTTTTTACACACAGAAGTCATATGGTGTTGTCTCTTGGATAAAAATAACTCTTACAGTCAGTCTTCTGGTGCAGACAGTCATGCTTATCAACACAAAGCTGGCTTTCCATGAACATTTTACCTTAATGCTCATGGTTCTGGACAAGCCCATGACTATTCTAGGAATGAGCTTGATGACAGGAAACTGAACACATGAAGGGTGAACGCACAGCTGAAGCAAATGCAGTTGGTTTTTTTTTTAATTTCCTCGGGTATTTGCAGAAGATGTTGAAATATTCACCTGGCTGTAACTGGAAAGGGAAGCTGTTTAAAGAACGTAGGCTTAACAAGATGCCATTCTTGGCTCCCCTCTACAGTTGAAAGTACCCCATATGTGGGCTGATGAATAGTGCAAAGGAGCTATAGCAAGACTGTTTTAAATAGTAACTTTTCTAGTATGACAGTGTTCATGTTGCCATTTCTAGAAAGCTCCCTGGGACACATGAACTTTTCATAGCAAGTAGAGAGCCCCAACATGCTCTGCCTAAACTGACATGACAGGACCCTAAGGGAGAGGAACAAGCAAGGAGGAATAGAGAGACTTGAAGGAATGCACAGAAGAAAACTGTGTCTCTACAGTTGAAAGTACCCCATATGTGGGCTGATGAATAGTGCAAAGGAGCTATAGCAAGACTGTTTTAAATAGTAACTTTTCTAGTATGACAGTGTTCATGTTGCCATTTCTAGAAAGCTCCCTGGGACACATGAACTTTTCATAGCAAGTAGAGAGCCCCAACATGCTCTGCCTAAACTGACATGACAGGACCCTAAGGGAGAGGAACAAGCAAGGAGGAATAGAGAGACTTGAAGGAACGCACAGAAGAAAACTGTGTTGTCTAGTAGAATATGTTTCATGTTCTAACAATAGATGTTTATACTTAAAATAACCTCTCTTCACTCCATATCATGGCTCTTTTAACATGAAATCATTTGTATTAGATACTGAAGAGTATTTCACTATAAATACATCAGTACTGAGAGACTATTTTTTTCTTTATTTCTGTGAAGCTAACTTTTGCCACCTTTAAGACTAATTGCTGCAAAGCAGTAACAGTTACTTTAGCATGCTTAGTGCTCTCTGCTTAGGACAAGAAATTGAAGTTCCTTTATGATGAACAGTCACAGTGCTTGACTTTAGTAAGCTGGTGGCTGCGATTCTCCTGCTCATAGATTGAGAAATAATGTTTTGAAGTTACTGTTAAATTTCTGTTTTCTCATTTTGTTTCTTGCCTTCCTTGCTCTTTTTAAACAACTTTCTGTAGTGAAGTAGGCTTTGTCTAGACTACGTTCTATTTTCAAAAGAGGATATGCAAATTCCACGGTACCACTTTTGAAAGAGGATCCACTTTTGGATCTTTCAAAAGTGAAAGTAGTCTGGACATGGGTTTTTTTTGGGAAAAAACCCTTTTTAAAAAAACCCCGCTTTTCCTTAAAAAATGAGGTTTACTTGTTTTTTTCAAAAAAGGGGTTTTTTCCCTGAAAAAAACATGTCCAGACTACTTTCACTTTTGAAAGATCCTCTTTCGAAAGTGAGATTGGAAGATGATTTGCAAATTACCGCAGAATTTGCATATCCTCTTTTGAGGGGGGGCAAAAAAAAAGAATTTAGACGTACCCGAGAATTTGCATATCCTCTTTCGAGGGGGGGGCAAAAAAAAAGAATTTAGACATACCCATAAAATCCACAAACTTAATCCTTTACTCAGGCAAAATTCCTACTAATGCCATATTTGAGTGATTATGCCATATGGTGGTGATTCGTGATTAAGATCATGTAAAATTCAATTTTGTGCTTTATTTCTCCAGACTGACAGCCAACTTAAGCATTATTTACACATAATTGAAAACAAACCACTTTACCCAGTTATCTATGATAGCAACGGTGTTGTTCTTTCCATGCCGCCAATCATCAATGGTAAGATTACAAGTGTTTATTTTATTACTGTTATTTTTTCTGATAGTACTCAAATGTTTATGCTAGATTCACTATGTGAATTGTTTAATTTTTTTTAAAACGCTGTCACTTTTTTCATTTATTTTTCACTGCAAATGTCATATATATTTCTGGTACCCTTTCCACTGGGAACTAAATGGTGGAGCTGGAATTTTCATGAGCACCTCTGGGTTAGGCATAACAGATACAGGCTTATTAGTCATCAGTCTCTTGGCTGAAGAGTTTATTTCAAGGTGACTCAATAAGCAGTAGAATTTGAGTGTCTCATTGTGATGTAAAAGTGATCCATTTGTCTGGTTATGAATCCAGTCTCATTGTCACACTGTGAACCAAGTACTATGAGAGCATTTAGTCTAGAAGGCTTTATTTACATTAATACATACATTTGGGCTGGAATCTTTGTTGACGTGGTTTCTAACAAAGCATTTCCTCTGAATATTAGAGAGAGTCATAGGTGATTTGGGAAAGGCTTTTCTGGTGAATAGTGCAGCGGATCAATGCCAAGAATATTTCCATAGACAAAAATAGGTAGTTTCATTACATCATAGTAAGAATTTAGATCAAGAGTCAGTTGCTCTGATGTAATCAGGGTCCGGCACTCTCTATAGTGACCAATTTAATTTCCAGTGACAGTCTCACTTTGGATGTGTGTCTCTAGTCATCCCTACAAATCTTAAAACAGCTGCCCTGAATCTTATGAGACAATGCACTTCTATCGATCTCTGATGTTTCATGGTTGTTCCAAATCCAAATGTGATGTCAGTCACAGTCTGTCATCCTTTTGGAAATGTTCTTGAGTAGGTTCACTGCGGCTTCAGATTGATCTAGAAGTAAACATTCCAGTTGTTTGCATTTTAATAAATCAAAACGCTAAATTAAGTTTCACATATCTTGGTATGTTTTAAGGGATGATAGTTGAAAGATTTTTCAAAATTCAATTTGATGCATCTTACTGTTCTTCAAATGTAAACATGTGAATGCTCATTTTGGATTATTGTAGGAACACTAATTAGAGTTGGGAAGAAATTTTCCAGATAAACATTTTTCATTGGAAAATGCTGAAACAGAATTTTTAGCAAATACATAGCTAAAAAGTTTTTGTAGAGAGAGGTTTCTCAGGCCAAGGATAAATAAATGGGGTGGAGATAGAGGGTGGAGAGAGCAAAAAAGTGAGTAGCCTGGAGGTTAGGGTACTTACCTGGGATATGAGAGAGGCAGATTCAAAATCCTGCCTGTTGTGGGGTGGATTTCTCTCTCTGGTCTCTCTCAAAAAATTTCAAAAGGTTTCAGGTTGCTATGATAAGGAACACACACAACAACTTATATCTAACCCAGGGACAAGTTTTTCTGGAGCTTTGTGTATATTACAAGAACAGCAGCAAATAAAATTCATAGCTTTTCAGGGCAGAAAGTGTGTGCTTTTGCCATGGTGCGCTCTGCATTTTAGGATCCTTGAATCCTTTCTTTCAATCTGAGAGAGTACCAAAATTTTATGTGCTGTTTTTTAGTTTTTGTGCTGAAAGTTGGAATCCCACAAACTGAACTGGCCAAAAAAAAAATGTGACAGCATGTTAGTTATGTGTAGCAACAAACTCCAGTGAAAGATGCCGACTCATCTGCAGTGTCTCTCTACATGTGGCAGTGAAAAGCTCAGCTGAGGGAGTAGGACACAACAAGAAAAGAAGAGCTGCTGGAGCCTTTCGGTGCTGCCTCTCTGCTGTCAAGAGCCTTTCTCTGCTTCTCAGGTCTTTCACAGCAGCAGGAAAAAGCTCTAACAGAGGGATGCCATAGTGCTAAAAATAGCAGTACATATGTGGGAGGCACTTCTTGGTTGTCTAGAGAGCCACAAAGGTTGTAAACTATGCTGTTCTTTATAACCATGTTAGCTGGGTGTGCAGTTTCTGTACTTCACTCATCTCCACAAGCATAGACCTACCTTTAGGGCATTTGTCAATCCGAATGACATTTTTAAAATGTTCATTCTTTTTATTCAGGAGTGCTTTCCTAACCCGGCAGCCTAATAAGCCATAATCATGATATTGGGACATGCTAGAACAAGGAAAGCAAACCACATCCTCTAAGAATGCAGTGCTAGTTGTAACTATGAGGTGGGAGTTGTTTTGCTATTTTGCCTTCTCTGACTGGACATTGATATTGCTTTTGTAGCTCCCATAGACCCATACAACCTCCCTAAAATGGATATCCCAAGTTCACTATGAACACCAGTCTTCCACACAAGAGTGTGTACTCTTGTAGTTGTAGAATCAAATTTTCCACTTCCTGCTGCACAAACATCTCCTAAAAGTGACTTTGTGGCTGGTGGAAGACACAGAAGTGCCACTTAATTATAAAAAAGGTGTATCGATACATATGTTGTTCCAAGAAAAATGCTAACATCTTTAATATGTTTTTGTATTTTCTTTATTGTAGGAGACCATACAAAAATAAGCCTAAATACAAGAAATGTGTTTATTGAATGCACAGCCACTGATATTACAAAGGTAAATGAAGCTTTACTGCTTTTGATATACTGTCAAATCTGGTGTACATATAGCTGTTTTCTTCTGGGGAACAGGGCCATGACACAAACCAATATCATAGTAGAGGACCATATATTTTACATTTTGGAGCAGAAATAGTAGAAGGGTGATTTGGGGAGTGTATTAATTAACTTCTCCTTATACTTCGATTTTATGTTTGCTGTGGGAATAACTTACATTTTAAAAAATGTTTCTAGTTCTATTTGTTCTGCGGCAGGCATTTTTGTCCTTGCATGGATCCTGAATTTTCAATTTGAGAGTAATTCAGATTAAATACTTTTTTTTGTTGATAGCTTTTCTGTGCTTGACCAATTCTGAAAAGTGAAAAATATCTTGAGATTGTTGTATAGTAACAGAGTTCTTTTTACAAAGAACGATTTCTCCCCTTGACTCTCTAGCAGTAAAATGTGTTGGGGATATTTTTTTTTTTTCTTGATAATTGTATTTTCATTTGTTTAAAGAGAGAAAGTTAAATGAAAATAAAAATCAACTTTCTAAGCATGGGTTCATTTACAAAGAAGCATAGTTTTCATTTTGTCAACCCAAAGGTAGCCTTTCCCCACCCACTTTTAGTAATTACAAATCCAAACAACTAATTAAGATGAATTTGGCAGTGGCTGTGCTAGCACTTTTGTGGATGCACATTGTTCACTCTTTTGAGAATTTTGGCAGTCTAATTTAAGCCTTATAAAAGCAAAAATATTTTTACAATAAATAGGTACACAAGGGTTAAATAACAGCAACAAGGAGTCAAGTATACGAGGAGTTCTGTGGCACCTTATAGACTAACAGATTTATTGGAGCATAAGCTTTCGTGGGCAAAGACCCACTTCATCAGATGCATGTAGTGGAAATTCCAGGGGCAAGTATAAATGTACAGGCATAAGAAAAGAGTACCAATCAAGAGTAAGGTAGAGATAACGAAGTCAGTTCAGTCAGGGAGGATGAGGCCCACGTCTAGCCACTGATGTGGAGGTGTGAACACCAAGAGAGGAGAAACTGCTTTTGTAGTTGGCTGGCCATTCAGTCTTTGTTTAATCCTAAGCGTTAAATAAATTTTTGTGTTTTGTGAGGTCATACTCAGAGCTGATAAAAATGTAATTTACATGTTGAGGGGGGGTCTCATTTTTTGAAAGATAGAAGTAGGGAAGCTAATGAATCATAACGTGAGAACCAGGGGTCACCAAATAAAATTAATAGGTAGCAGGTTTAAAATGAACAGACGGAAGTATTTCTTCATGTAGCGACAGTCAGCCTGTGGAACTCCTTGTCAGAAGATGCTGTGGAGACCAGGACTTGAACAGGGCTAAAGGGGGGAGGGGGAGGTGCTGGGAGAAGGCTTGAAAGGAGGGGTGGGCGTGAGGAAGGCGGGGATGGAGCAAGGCATGTGTGAGGGCACAGGGGCATGAGGGGAATGGGGGCAGAGGATGGTGAGGGGGTGGGCATCCGGGAAAAAGAGTGCAAAGGGCGCAGGGGCAGCGAGGGAAGGGGGAGGCACCAGGAGGGTGCAGGAGTAAGGGAAGGTGAAGGTGCCAGGGGATTCTGGGGGTGAAGCAGAATGGCAGACACCTGCAGGGGAGGGACCAGCACCAGGAGGAGAGAAGCGAGGGAGGTGTTAGGAGAGGGGATGAGGAGGGGGTTGCTCACATGATCAGTGTGGGGCTACTGGAGGAGTGGGCATGGGGGGACGGACCCCTTTTTTCTGTTTTTTCTCCAAAAGGGGGGCCCCGCGATATTGTGCTGCCCTGGGCCCCGCAAAACTCTCATCCGCCCCTGCCTTGAGCGGGAGCGTCAAAGTATTTGCGCAAGAAGCACTGAATTCTTCCATTAGAACGTCAGTGCTCTTGCGCAAATTCAAGCGGGCAGTGTAGACAGCTGGCAAGCTTTTGCGCAAAAGCAACTGCTTTTACGCAAAATCTTGCCAGTCTAGACGCACCCCATAAGTTACTTGCATCAGTTAAACTAAATCTGATATATAAAGGAGAATGTTTGTAAGGTTGTGCGCTAATAACTTGGACACTATAAGAGCTACCGCAACCAAACTTCGCACAGGATAACCTTTCATCCACGAGAAGGTTTTAAGGTACTTTTGGACCCGATTAGGGTCCTGCCCTGCCCTCCCCGGTACCTGCAGCTCCTGGTGCGAGCTGGGGTGCCCTTCCCATGTGTAGCCTCCCAGGACTTGCCCCCTCCCGCCTGTGAAGTTACATAACCAACACCCTCCCTCCTTCCCCCTGCGAGCGCGCAGTGCCCCCAACCCCCATGTGCACAATGGCTCAGGCACCCGCCTTGCCCCCCACGGCACCTGCAGCCCCGGGG